GTGGCTCGTAGACATCCACATTCATAATCAATTAAAAATCAAAATGCAGATGCGTTGTTACCCTGAGGACTAAGATGGAATGCCTTGTTTCAAGTAGAAAGGATATCCGGTTCTCTACACTTACCATATGAAACACAGCAACATTAAGCTAAAATTTTACGTTGGTATTCTGTGAGAGCTTGTCCCTACCCCGATTGAGCTGATTCATTAATGCTACAACCATAATATAGTTGTAGCGTGGCTCTACCACGTATAAAACGACGTGTCTTTCCATCCGATTACAATATTAATGTCTTCAAGGATAAATTGTTAAGTCAGTGCGCTTTACCATCTTCGGCTGCATAACCATTTACCATCTTGGGGTAGTAGTTATGCATTGGATTATAAAGTAAAAAAAGAACAGATAAGAGTGTGTGCAAATTATTTCTATTTTCAGAATTTGCATTGCCATAGTGTCTATAATATTTTAATCAAACATATTCAGTACCGGCGAATGTTCAAATTATTTAAAGTAAAATTACACAACAAATTACTTTATAAGTATAGCATTGATACAAGGTGGTCACCGCAATGCTCCATAATAAGTAGTTATATTCTTCCCACAATTGGGCACAGGGCTTATCTGAGAGGGTTTTAGGGCAAGGAAATGTCCGCCTCGCTGTCCCAATGCATGTTGGTGAACTGTACACGTCTTCTAAATATTTTTTCTATTAGAGATGCAGGTTTCCTCACAATGTTTTCCTTCACGTGGTAAATCGGCACTTAACCTTAAAATTAACTATTTCATTTGTACCGGCGGGGATCGAACCCGGGTAGCTTGCGTTAGTTAAATTTACAGCGAGTGCTTAGACCCTTAGCTAGCACGGCCGATATTGTTAGCCGACTTCAAAAAGAATTCACTGTATGTGTTTTATTTTAGTGTGTTTGTATTTTTGTCAATAGTGTTGATGATTTTTTTTATTAAATAACTATAATTCAGAGTTGTTCAAATATAAATTTGGCGAAAAATTTTTATCCCTAAGGGTGGCAAAATAAGGGATGAAGTATTTAATGAAACTATTTATACGAAATAGTGATAATGAAATTCCGTAGCCCACTTAAAAGACAAAAACTACTTTGAATAAAAAGTGAGAACCAAATTCAAAGAAAAAAAGTCATAATTTTATATGAGGAAGTGCTGAAGCGGCAACAGACCGGCCAAATAGTTCGGAAAACTACCAACCGATAGGGAAGAAAGGTACTCGAATGGCAACCTCGTCACGATAAGCGAAGCGTAAAGCGACCACCTGGTAAGTGGTAACCACCTGGTGGAGTGACGACCTGGTAAGAGATGCAGAAAATCGATGGATGCAGGCGGCTCGGGGTCATGCTCTCCCGAGAAATGTTACAAAGCAAGCTATGTTCATCTGTGGAATTGTGAATAGCTGTAATGACGATGATCGAATACATCTTGCTTAGGTTGCTGATCTAGTTAAGTAAATAATTAAAATTACTTCAACGTAAAATTATTATGATAGTATCTAATAATAATTTGTCGTATGATTTTTTATCTCTTCAAAAATAAAAGTTTTAGCCTATATATGTTCCACTTTTGAGCACATGCCTCATATAATTTCTAAAACGGTTAAACAAAATTGAACGCGGCCTTGTAATTTTCTACTGACTGGAATATATCCTTACTAAACAAACAAATAAACAAAAATTTTAACAAAATAGAATACCGACTTCAAAACAAAATATTTTAAAACAATAAATGCACTAAAAATTTTAAAAATAATTGCGTATTCTTGTATCTACAACTTACAATCAACTTATTTTTTCTACTCAATGTACGATCTATGCGTTTACCACGCAAGAAGGTAGGTACCGACTTAAACTTCACATCTAACTCAACACATATCTATGATTCACAAACAATTATCAAAATATTTTTTAGAGTTCAACTAAGCAAAAATTTTCAAATATATGTGTAGACTGCTTAAAAGACAATCAAATTATTAGGATAATATAATCTACAATTATTGTCATTTTTGGAGTCGGTGTCATCCAAGGTATATTTCTAACTACTTAAACGTGAGATGTCTTACTATAATCATAACATAGATAACAATTGGCACACAATTTACACACATAGACGCAGCACTCGGCGCGGGCTTATCGACGCGGGCGCGGGGAAGGAGGGTGGGAAGGCTACAGAAGTGAGCGAGCCAAACGCGTACGCCGGCCATTCGCCAGTCAAGAAAAAGAACATATACGAGTTACTTGATTATAAACCGATTCCGATTCTTTTTCATTCTACACCGTCTTTCTTACTGTAATTCCTTATGTTTATTATTAAAGCTACATTTTCGTATAAAGGTTGCTAGATATTGTCACAGCCATTGATTTATATGTTACACCTTTATGATAATTAGATAAGTAATTTAACCGCGCCAAAGCGTTGTCACTTCACATAAGGCCACAGCCTTATACTCAGCGAACGTCGGTTCAGTGTTCAAGGTGACGCCGTCCGAGTTAAGCCGAACGACTCACAACAAAAAATGGGTAAATGCGTAGTGAAAGAATGCGTTTCAAGGTCACAAAAACATAATAAATCAAGCGGAATCACTTTCCATACGTAAGTTTTAATTTATATATTCATATTAACGTTTAAAACACTAAAAAAATTAAATAAAATATCGAATATTGCAATTTAGGTTCAATGTTGCCACTTTTCCGCATTTGTGATTTTTCCACATTAATGGGAGACTGTATAATTAATTGAATAAGTTAATTTCTGTTTTAAAATAAAAGTAAAATTGATTGCTTAAAAATAAAAACTACGTTTCAACCTTTATACAAAATAATTATTCTTATTTTATTTTATTCATGAATTATCTATTAAATATATTTTACTACCTTATATCTTATACTAATAATTTTATATTAATTAAAATTTCATATAAATTTTATATTAATTATATTTCATGCTACCTATTTTATATTACTTGATTTATTAGTACAGAAAAAAATTTATAAAAATACGTTTTATTTCATCATTATGTACTTCTAACTCATCTGATAAGCTTTGTATTCTTTTTTTCTAAGGGGACGCAATAAAGATTTTAAAATAAAATATACTTTCTTAATATAAAAACAATTAACTGAAGCTTAAAAAAAACTCATTTTTATTGCGTATTTTAGGTAAAATTTTATATAGTAAGCCACACCAACCCGCCATTGCATGTTTGTGTGTCTATCTTTATCTAATCTTAGCGACGATATTGTTTACGCAACTTGTGTAAGTGAGATAGATATATGTTTACTTAAAATTGTTATTAGTTTCAAAGCTACGTCGTCGCGTTTGGATAGTGGTTACACATTTTTCGACGCGCGGTAATGTGGTTTGCTCCTCTAGTGTTGTATAACTCAATGGACTATTGTCGTAATATCCTAAATATTGTTATTTTGTTGCATTAAGGTTGTTAGAAAGGTATTGTCACAGCATATTGTCGTATTGAAGTTAATTTGGAAATAGGATTAATTATATATTGGTATTGTTTATTGTATTAATGTTAACAGATAGGTATTGTCACAGCATTTTGTCATATTAATGTTCATTTATAAATAGGTTTAATTAGGTATTGGTATTTTGTTTTTTGTAATAAGGTTATTAGGTACTATCACAGCATATTGTCGTATTAATGTTCATTTATGAATAGGTTTAATTAGGTATTGGTGTTTTGTTGCATTAAGGTTGTTAGATAGGTAATGTCATTGGTACCTATTTTGTTATATTAGGGTTGTTAGATAGGTATTGTCACAGAATATTATTGTATTAAAATTAATTTGGAAATAGGTTAATTATTTTTGGTATTTCGTTGTATTAAGGTTGTTACTTAGGTATTGTCACATCACATTGTATTTAAGTTAATTTGTAAATAGGATTAATTAGGTTATTGGTATTTTGTTTATTGTATTAATGTTGTTACATAGGTATTGTCACACCATATTTTCGTAATAAAGCGTATTTCCAGGAATTCTCGTATTATTATTGCTAGGTACATTGTCGTATTTCCTTGGCTGACACCGACTCTAAAAATGACAATAATTGTAGATTATATTATCCTAATAATTTGATTGTCTTTTAAGCAGTCTACACATATATTTGAAAATTTTTGCTTAGTTGAACTCTAAAAAATATTTTGATAATTGTTTGTGAATCATAGATATGTGTTGAGTTAGATGTGAAGTTTAAGTCGGTACCTACCTTCTTGCGTGGTAAACGCATAGATCGTACATTGAGTAGAAAAAATAAGTTGATTGTAAGTTGTAGATACAAGAATACGCAATTATTTTTAAAATTTTTAGTGCATTTATTGTTTTAAAATATTTTGTTTTGAAGTCGGTATTCTATTTTGTTAAAATTTTTGTTTATTTTTCTATTTTTAGTGATTCTGAAGTTCGATAACTGATTTTATTTGTTTGAAAATGGGTAGACCTAGCAAACGCGCTGCTCATATGAGACAGCACCGTTTAAATGAGACAAACGAAGAAAGGGAGAAACGTCTATCTCAAAAGAGGAAATCTACCTCAATTGACATTTCAAAAGAGACTTGTGAAGAGCGCAAAAATAGGCCTTCAATAATGCGGGCTTACAAGTTAAAAAAGTTTTGTACAGGGAAAATATCGAAAAACGTACTCTCCGTCTGGGCCTGATCCACGATCGCCTATCGAATGAGACGGAAGAACAACGTGCCCACCGCCTCGGCGTGATCCACAATCGTCTATTGAATGAGACGCAAGAGCAACGTGCCCACCGCCTTGGCATGATCCACGATCGTCTATCAAATGAGACGCAAGAGCAACGTGCTCACCGCCTTAGCATGATCCACGATCGTCTATCGAACGAGACGCAAGAGCAACGTGCCCACCGCCTTGGTATGATCCACGATCATCTATCGAATGAGACGCAAGAGCAACGTGCTCACCGCCTTAGCATGATCCACGATCGTCTATAGAACGAGACGGAAGAGCAACGTGCTCACCGCCTCGGTGTGATCCACGATCGTCTATCGAACGAGACGGAAGAGCAACGTGCTCACCGCCTCGGTGTGATCCACGATCGTCTGTCGAACGAGACGGAAGAGCAACGTGCTCACCGCCTCGGTGTGATCCACGATCGTCTATCGAATGAGACGGAAGCGCAACGTGCCCACCGCCTCGGCGTCATCCACGATCGTCTATCGAACGAGACAGAAGAGCAACGTGCTCACCGCCTCGGTGTGATCCACGATCGTCTATCGAATGAGACGGAAGAGCAACGTGCCCACCGACTCGGATTGATTCGCGATCGCTTATCAAACGAAACACCTGAAACTCGTTCAGATCGACTTAGTAGAATGCAACAAGCTAATCAAGCTTGTAGGGACATCACAAATGAGCAATCTTTTGAAGCGGCTATTAATATTTTTGCTGATGTACCATGCGCCGTTTGTAAAAGAAGCCTTTATCCTCAACAGCGTTCCAATTTACGAGCAAATATGTATAGTATACTATTACCTGAAGAACTGGTTGCTTTAGGTACAATAACTACGTGCTCTCGATGTAGCAATAATATTAGGAAAAGAAAAATTCCAACAACTGCATATTGGAATAAAATGATGCCCGCAGAAGTACCGCCTGAATTAGTCAATTTGACGAGCGTTGAAGAACGATTTTTAAGCCGCATCGTACCGTTTTTAAAGATTGTAAAACTTAATAACCGGTTCAGTCAAAATTGGTGTAAAGGGCAGGTCATTCTATTTGCAAAGGATGTTGTGGAAATTGCTGAACAGTTACCACTGACACCAAATCAAGCTGGTTTAGTTTTGGTAGTGGAAAGTCTCGAGAACCTTTCATGTTCTAAAGAATTCGTCGTGGATGTGCAAAGACTGAATAGAGCATTAACTTGGTTAATTTCCAATAACCATCTTTACAGCGATGTTCAGGTACATTTTGAAACTACTTTAAATATTCCTCATATATTACAAATAGCTGAAAATTCTATTCCTGAACAGGATGGCATTGCTTCTGAAACTTTATCACAACATTATATCACTTTAAATGACAACAAGGCAATATTACGCGGATCATTTAATCAAGGTGATTTACGATTTAATTTATCTCGGGGTAAGCAATGTACTGGGATAGCGGCTGTTGCTTGTGCAGCATTTAGTGTATTAGATCCAAACAAGTGGGCCAAAAGTGATATTGATTACATTGTAATTATTGGCGATAAATACTATAATGACTGCATCGCTGCTAGAGATAATCCTGCGCCCGGCGAAGTAAATCCTGAGTACCTTGCTGTTTCAGATCTTAGTCCAAGACTTATATATAATAGACAAAATTTAGTGATCACAGTACTTGAGGAAACCAATCATAATGGCCACATAGACAATGATAATACTTCCGATGGACTTCCTAATTTAAAAAATGCATTATTAAGTTTTTTCAGAGAACACTCCAATGGGATACTTACAGCAAACGCCATATCGATAGCAGTGCATTGCAGAACTTTAGGTGACAATCAAACTTACTTTTTGTTTGATTCCCATGCAAGGGGTCCCAAGGGGGCTTCCGCTCCCATAAATGGTACCGCTTGTTGCATGCGATTTAGTGAACTGGATGATTTGCATGCTATTTTACGTCGCAATTTATTTGTGTCGCCAAAAAAGTGCCAGAAGGAAACTTTCGAGATAATCTTAATGTATTCTCGTTAACATCATTAGTTATAGCTCGAGACTCCCAAAGACAAACAATTACGCCAATATTGGAACAATCGTCAAGGTTAGAGAGTCCAACATTTACACCAAACGATTCCCTCCAACCGATAATACAAACAGCTCGAGACTCCCAAATACAAACGATTACGCCAATATTGGAACATTCGTCAAGGTTAGAGAGTCCAACATTTACACCAAACTATTCCCTCCAACCAATAATACAAACAAGTAATACCCTCCAAACAACAACACAAGTCATTCAGTCTATCCAAAAAACAGTTCCGGTAAAATCAACCCATTTTCAGTTGCCATTACCAGTCCATAACTCCTTAAGCACCATTTATATCGAATCAACAGGTATGCTCCAAAATATAGACGATAACGTACCTAATTTAGAAAATGTTGTTAATATGAATAGCTCTTCAACCGATGATACAATGAGATTGGCCGCAATCACAAGGAAAACTGCACCTCCCTTGAATTTGGAACGTGAACGCCGTATGGAGGAATTATGTTGGTATTTTCTTTTTCCAAATGGCAGGAATGGCTTTGGCGAGGAAAGAGAAAATGCGTGTACCCCCCTTGATTACTTTCAAAACCGGGTAATGAGTATTGACAAGAGGTTCAACAGAAATGATTATTTATTTTATGCTCTATCCATTGTTGAATATTTTCGTGCAAAATCAAGCGTATCTGTGTCATGTAGGATGCGACAAGGTCATGGAGAGCAAACACCACAGGGACTTGTAGATAATATGCATCTCACTATGAGAAATATTCGAGGATCGGCATCATATTGGCAGAAATGTTGCTCTGAATTGATTGCCATGGTTAGAACTTTAGGGCCTCCCACATGGTTTTTAACATTTTCCTGCAATGATTTAAATTGGCCAGACATGATAAAAGCCTTGCTTATCGCTGATGGACGTGATATCGATGACGTCGATCGCCTGTCATTCCCGGAGCGCTTGAACCTAGTGCAAAAACATCCGGTAGTGTTAGCACGACAGTTCACAGTACGTGTTAACGCTCTCATGCGATTCTTAAAGAGAAATAAAGATTGCTTGGGTGGTCTTATTGAAGATTTTTGGTACCGAGTGGAGTTTCAAAACCGCGGTAGCCCACATCTGCATATGTTAGTCTGGTGTAGTAATGTTCCGAATTTCACCACTCCAGAAGGAGTTGCTGTAATTGAAAGGGTGGTTTCATGTTCATTAACTCCTAATGACCTTGTGTTGCGCAAATTAGTTGAGGATTTACAGATTCATAAACACACTGCGACATGCAAAAAAAATCGCCAAACTGATGGTTGTCGATTTGATTTTCCAAACCCAGCAAGTGTTAACACCGTTTGTCTTGGACCAGATGAAGCACTTGCTAACAATGGACGATTTTGTATATTGAAACGAACCTCAAATGAAACCATGGTAAACAATTACAATGCAGTTCTTTTAAATCTATGGAAGGGAAATATTGACGTGCAACCGTGTGGTAATGTCACCGCTGTGGCCTACTACGTCGCAAAATATGCCAGTAAATGCGAACAACATGACACAGGTGATGTAATTCGAGAAGCTATTTCGAATGCTAAGAGACAAGGTGGTGATGTTTGGAAACAATTGTTTTCAATATCAATGACTATTTTAAATAAACGCTTGGTGAGTGCGCCCGAATGCGCTTACAGATTATGCCATTTGCCATTGAAAATGTCGTCGCGAAAGACTGTTTTTGTGAATAGTTGCAGGCCGGAGGAACGTTACAGACTCCTGAGATTTGATAGTGATGAAACCAGTATTTACAATAATATTTTTGATCGTTATGTATTACGCCCAAACGAGCTGGAGAATTTAAGCCTTGCGGAATTTGCCGTCCGTTTTGAAACCGTCTCTAACACGACATGGTCAGAGGACAATGGGGATGCGGAACTGAGAGACGAAGATATTACGCCAGAGAGGTATATCAGATTGCAGGACAATACGAGATTGCGTGTAAGAAATAGACCGGCAGTGTTACGTACCCGCTATTATACAATTAATAGTGACAAAGAAGCATATTATTACAGTTTATTAGTATGCCATATACCATTTCGTAATGAAGGCGAATTACTTTTCGAAAAAGAAACCGCTGAAGACTGTTTTATAAGACGAAAAGGGGATCTTCGCCCGTTGCAGGGTAACATCAGTTCAGAACAAATTGGTCATGCCGAATTAATTATTCAACAAGCTGTTGCGCAAGCTACCGCGCTTAATGCTGCGCGTGAAACCGATATAGGCAATGCTTCCATGTTATGTGTTGGTGAAAAAATTTTACATGACGATGATAACTTTTGTGAAGACATGGAAGAACGAGCCGTCATATCAGATGAATTGTTCCTAGGAAGCATTCGAGGATTAAATATCCAACAGAAGGAATTATTTCAGAAAGTTTCAACGGCAATCGAAAACGATTTGCATGGACAAGAAAGCCAGCTGTTACTTTTTATCACGGGCGGTGCAGGCAGTGGTAAATCATTTCTGCTGAAATTAATCGTGGAGCACATTAAGCGTTGTTACGCACCAACAGTAGATATACTGCTGAAGCCTAAATTTGTGGAAGTTGGGTCGTTAACCGGGGTTGCCGCTCGTCAAATTTTTGGCAAAACGCTACATAGTATTTTCTTGCTTCCGATTGAAAAAAAAAATTCTATGACATACAAAAAAATTACAGGTCAAAGACTCGAGACTGAAAGGCGTAAATGGCGCTATATAAATTGGCTAGTCATAGACGAAATTTCTATGGTCTCCTATGAGAACTTAAGAATAATTCACCTAAGACTCCAAGAATACAAAAACAACGAGAAGTTATTCGGTGGAGTCAACATTTTAGTATTTGGTGACATATTTCAGCTTCCTCCGGTGAAAGGGAATTGGTGTTTTGTGCAGCCATCGTGGTTTTTGGTGGAGGTCAATTTGTGGCATCAGTTTTCTTTTTGTGAACTGACCATAAACATGCGACAGCGCAATGATAGCGAATTCATCGATTTATTGAACAGCTTACGGGTAGGTGAACTGACGACGGCTCAGCTGGAATTACTATGCGAGCGGCGCCACGTGCCTATAAATGGTGAATTTGCGGATGGAGTCGCCGTTCGTATCTTTCCCACGGTCAGGCAAGTCGACGATTACAACGACAAAATAACCAAGGAAAATGCAAAGCTGCACCGAACTTATTTAATCAACGCAGTGGATGAGTCGCGTGAAGTAGCGACATATGGTAGAAAACCACCAGAGAACGTGATTCCCAAAGACGTCAATAACTGTGGTGGTCTTCTGCCATCGATAAGAATTAGCGTCGAATCTCGAGTGATGTTGAGACGCAATATCTCCGTCTCTGAAGGGCTAGTAAATGGAGCTATGGGTATAATAAAAAAAATCAAATGGCCGGCCTTGAGGAGAGATCAACTGGAGGATGGAGAGCTACCAGAAGCCGTGTACGTTAAATTTGATGACGAAACTATCGGTCGCAGGCTAAAAGATAGTAATGGTTGCGTACCCATACCTCCATCAAGTACTACATTTCAGGCAGTAAGGGGTTACGGAGATGTGGAGCGCCGTATGCTGCCTCTAATATTAAGCTGGGCAGTTACAGTTCACAAACTACAGGGTACGACCCTCGAAAGAGCTGTGATTGACCTTGGAAAGAAAAACTTCGCAAAAGGGCAAATATATGTGGCACTAAGTCGTGTTAAAAGTTTGGAAGGCAAAGCTTTATCAGATTTGGACGCCAACAAATTATTAAATAAACCACACGACGACAAATCGTTGAAAGAAATGACGAGGTTACGAAATCTGTCTTCCGACAATGAAGACCACGCATAATACTCGTACACCTCAAGTAGCGCAATTAGAATGAAAGATATACCGTTAAAATCATCAATCATTATCAATGGCTAGGATGCTATGTTTTATTCCGGAGTTCCGGTGCCTAATAACTTCATTGTCAGATCAAAAGTTGTATCATAGAAATAATTTTGTTTTTAGCTTTTTAGTGTGTACCCTTTCGAGTGTTATAGTTCCGTTTTATTTCGCCGAAGATCTTAATTCGGACATCACCAAATTATAAAAATGGGACCACCTCGAAATACTATGAATCGAAATACGATGCTCTTCTCAACCACCCTTTACCGTTTTTCCGTTTACCGTTCGACAAGTAATAAATATAAGTATAAAATAAAAAAATCGGCAGATGAGAACATCGTCAATGCAATCGAAGTCAATTATATATGCATTATTAAGGATAACTCAAAAAGTACTGGTAAAACTTGGATCAAATTTATACGGGACCACACGAGAAGTACCAGCTTTCAAATAAAAAAAGAATCATCGAAATCGGTTCACCCAGAAAAAAAAATCGGCAGATGAGAATACCGTCAATGCAATCGAAGTCAATTATATATGCATTATTAAGGATAACTGAAAAACTGCTGGTCAAACTTGAATCAAATTTATATGGGACCACACGAGAAGTACCAGCTTTCAAATAAAAAAAAGAATCATCGAAATCGGTTCACCCAGAAAAAAGTTCTGAGGTAACACACATAAAAAAAAAAACGAAAAAAAAAAACATACAGTCGAATTGAGTACCGGCTCCTTTTTGAAGTCGGTAGAAAAGTAAAAGTATAAACATCCACAAAATCGGTAGCTGTAAATCGAGACTCCGTCCCTTAATTATTTATAATACAAAAGTGGTCAATAAATTCAATAGGCTTGGGAAAACGTTACTCGAAAACGAACGAACGAACGAAAACGAACTTCGCCTAGGAGAGCCGATTACAACAGCTAAGGAAGAAAATTGGAAATAGTTGTAACATGCACAAGTTAAAATCAAAATTGCTAACTTTTGGGGCTCTGGTCTTTTAATAAATAAACTCTATTCATAATGATTTCTTAAATTTACGCGAACACTACACATTGAATAAAACTATTATTTACGGATTTTATCGCGTTTAATTACTTTAA